ATATGTTGTATTGTCATTGTCATTTATTTGAAGGAACTGTCTGATTTCTTCTTTAATTTCTTCTGTGACCCATTGGTTATTCAGAAGTGTGTTGTTCAATTTCTATGTGTCTATGAAATTCCTGTTGTTTCTTTTGCTATTGCTCTCCAATTTCACCTCACCATGGTCTGAGAATATACAGGGGATAACTTCAATTCCTTTGCACTTAAATATGTTCTATGTGCGAGTATGTGGTCTATTTTGGAGAATGACATGTGTGCAGCTGAAAACCATGTGTATTCTGATTTTGCAGGATAGAACACTCTGGAAACATGTTAAGTTCATTTGTTCAAGAGGTTGATGGAGTTCTAGTATTTTGTTGCTTGATTTTTGACTAGTTAATGTGTCTGTTACAGTGGGGTATCGAGGTCCCCCACTACTATGGTATTAGTGCTTATATGATTTTTCATGTCCATTAGTATTTGTTTTATATATTTGAATGCACTATTGTTTGGTGCATAGTTATTTATGATTATCATCTCTTTCTCTTGGAATTTTCCCTTTACAAGGATGTAGTGTCCTTCTTTGTCTCTCTTAATCAGTGTGGGTTTGAAATCCATTTGGTCTGAGAAGAGGATAGCTACTCCTGCTTTTGGGGGAGGGGGGTTCCTGTCACATGGGGCATTGTTTTCCACCCTTTAAATTTCAGTCTATGAGTTTCTTTTTGAATTAAGTGTGTTTCTTATATGCAGCATATTTTTGGATCTTGCTTCTTGACCCATTCTACCAGTCTCTTTCTTTTGATTGGTGAATTGAGACCATTAACATTGATGGTTATAACTGATACATATTGACATCATTGTCATGACATTATTTTTCTGGATTCTCCCACTTTGCATTTAATTTCTGGTTGTGCCTGATGGATTCATTCTGATGGGCTTCCTGTGGTTGTAATATTCACTGTCTTTTCCTTGGATATTACCTAAAATTTTCTGGAAGGCTGGTTTGATATTTATGTAGTTCCTAAGGTGCTCTTTTTCATGAAAGTATCTTATTTCTCCATCAATTTTGAAAGATAGTTTTGCAGGGTACATCAATCTGGATTCAAGGCTGTTTTCCTTTACAGCTTGAAATATATCACTCCAAGCTCTTTTTGCCTTGAGGGTTTACATTGAGAAGTCTGCTGTGATTCTGATGGGCTTTCCTTTGTATGTGATTTGTTTCTTTTCTCTAACTGCTTGTAGAGCTTTGTTCTTCTGTTGTGTTTCTGGAATCTTAACCATTATATGCCTATGTGTAGATTTTTTTTTGATCAAGGCTACTTGGAGTCCTATATGCCTTGCTTATCTGTATGTCAAGTTATTTTTCCCTGCTGGGGAAGTTTTCTGCCTTCACTTCTGTGAACAGATTTTTTATGTCATCTGCACTCGCTCCTCTTTCTTCCTTGACTCCTATCTGTCTTATGTTATTATTCTTTGCATCATCTACCAGCTGCAGGATTGACTTCTCATAGTCCCTTAAATTTTTTTAAAAATTTTTTCTTTT